GAGTGGTTTCGTGTTATAGCTGCGCTTAATGATGATATCATTGTTGCATCGTGAGAATTGGAAACAGCTTGGGGGGGTGGGGTGGGGGGGAAGGCCTTCATCCAGCAGTATGAAGATCATGGCCGATGATGGTGACGATGAAATTACAAAAAATAGAGTTTGTATTAACCGCCTACTCAATGTCACGTGAGTTGCTGGCTTTGTCTGGAACTCCACACGCCCACCGGGTAAACAATCTACATGCTTACGACTGTGCGTGAGGTTGTCGCAGTGTCGCCGCGTGAATCTCCGATTTATTTTACCGGTAAAAGCAATGTGGTACAACCCCCCCCCCCCCCCCCCCCCCCCCAGAAAGCACATCGAAGAATCTGCCTGAATGTCCTCCGATCTTTCCCAGTGCAAACATTTTTTTTTAAATTTGAGAGAGAAATGAGGTGGCATTTAAAGTTCATTGAATTGATGACATTCTAAATGAACCAGACCACTTATGTTCCTTATAGAGAAACGTTAACCTTGGCTTCAGAAGAGGCCCGGATTGCTTGCTCTCCGCGTGGTCGCTGTTTGAAAACTGCAACAACAACAAAACGGCCGAGCGGACGTGGAGCAAGCGAGGCCACATGTGAAAAGCAAAACGGGAATTATTGAAGCAAGCACAAAGAAGTCAAGGAGCTAATTTCACCCACTCCCCCCTCCCCCTCCATTAATCGAGCGCAATAATCATAGTGCCCGTTGACACTCGACGAAACTTACGCGGTTTAAATTCCGTTTCCCGTCGCGTAACCCGCCACATCTCTTAAAAAGGGGGCACAGCTCGGCTAATAATGTCTCTGAAATAGGCAAGGCCAATGCACACGCATCCTGGCTTCACGCGGCTGTCTGTGTGGGCTTGTGCTGTCGCGGTGGGTACCTTTTTAAGTGTCGCAAAAGCGAAGTGCCTTACCGAGCACTTACCATTCGGTCTGACGAGGCAGACACAATGGTAAGAATTGTCTGAGAAGTGTCTGGACTTTGCAGTTATGTGTCTGAATTACTGGAGGTCACGCACACTCTCTGACCCTTACCCATTGTGTGGTTAAGCCGAGGGTACAACTAGCATTTACACCTGTCCTGTTTTCCCAGAATTGTCTCCGCAAACGAGGGAGTGGCAGCCGCTATCCTAGGAAATCTGTCTGTTTTCCCCGGGACATTAAGATTCCAGGTTTCCGACAGACTTGGCAGAATAAGAATAATAATTCTACAGCAATGCTAGTTTACGCGTGGTTTTCTCCTCTCTTCTGGTTTTCTTGCGAGATATCATTCTCCGTCTCGTTACACGTCCTGGTTTTTTACGAATACAGGGTATTCCAAAAAAAGTTTAAACTTCTTAGAATTTGCAACAATACCACAAGACGTGTGCCTCCGGGCTCTGGAGACCACCTGGAGAAGATTCGAGGCACGCGTTGGCAATGATGGCGAATATGTTCGTGTATTATCCATTATTTTTCCATTAAAGACGATAGTCCCATGTAAGTGTTAAAAAAGTAAGCACCCTATATATATACCTGTGAGGTGGCAACCTTTAGATAAGTTGCTGATTTCAGCTGAGCAAATGTTTTCATAAACGCGGCATTTTCCGCAGTCGAGGCGTCGTGAGTAGGCGTGCACCCGTCTCTTTGTGTGTACCTGCTATTTGCACAGCCATCGCCACTTGATCTCGCCAAGGCGATTTCAGGCCCTGTACATTGTCCGCATGCGTGCTTGTGTGTGTCTCTGTGTGTGTCTGTGTGTGTGTCTGTGTGTGTGTCTGTGTGTGTGTCTGTGTGTGTGTCTGTGTGTGTGTGTGGGGAGCGGGAATGCAACGGTTGACGCGTCGCGCTATGAACCCGGCGACCCGGGTTCGATTCCTGCTCATGGCCAACACCGGTGACGATTATCTGAACCGGCCCTGGGCCTCCCCTAGGTCGACTCAGCCTCAAATGAGTACCTGGTGCGGTGCGTAAACATCGCCACTAGGGAGACAAAGGCGGCCGGGCGTGGTTGCTCGCCACCCATCCTCCTCTCGTGTACCGTTCTGGCCTTCATAGGTGGTCGCTAACAGCACTTGGCTGTTAAGGCTATATGGGGGATCTTTGTCTTCGTTTTTTGTATGTGGGGGGCGGCAGTACAACGGTTTGCATGCTGCGTTACGAACCCGACGACCTGAGCTCGATTCCGCTCACGGTCACCAACACCAGTGACGACTATGTGAACCGGTGTTGGGTCTCTCCTAGGTCAACGCAGCCTCAAATGAGTATCTGGTGTGATGTGTAATCATCGCCACAGGGGAGACAAAGGCGGTCGGGCGTTGTGCTGACCACCCACCCCGTTTTTGTACCGTGCCAGCTTTCATAGGTGCTACTCACTAATAGCACTTTCCCTAACAGTCTGTTAATGCGACACGGAGGATCTTTGTATTCCGTGTGTGGGTGCTTGCCTGCCTGCCTGCCCGCAGTCATCTCAGACCGATAACACCTGGGTCTATCCCGTGATTTCCTACCAGAGAACCTTGAACACTTCACGTGGACTCAAAGTGCACCTAGCCTGGCACAAGCGCTTAAGAGGCGAAGCGGAAGGTGGCAGTTGTCCACAAACTGCCTCCCTCCACTCCACAGCCACTGCGTTGCACATTGGCATGACCAGAGTGACGAGGGGGTCGGGTCACAATTCGAAATGAACCACCTCCAAGATTCTGCAAAGGCCATTGCTAACACTCTTCCACTGCCTCTCAGTATCGGCTTCTGAATGCACAGTAGTGAGCAATGATGGCTTTCAAGCGACACACACACAAGTGTGTAAAGAGCACTCCAGCCTTTTGTGCATTATGCAAACAACCCCATCAGCATTTTCTGACGAAGGGCATTGTGGTCCTCGTGTCTTCGAGTCGCCATCAACATGCATTTCGGTTTATGTGATCGGCTGGCAGCAGAAGTAGTAATAATAATAATACAGACACAAACTGTCGACCACTTTCGGATGCACTTCTGTGGCCGTCTGAAACGCTCTTATTTCCGATATTAGGAAGCCACTGGACCTATGCACTTTTAAATCATCTAGATTCAAAGCTCGTTTCTTTAGATTTGCTTTTTTGTGTTCAGTTTGTTGTCCTTCCCCCTCCCCCCGCACCTCCGATGAGCACGGTTGGCTACGTGCGGTGGTGCGAACGAAGTTCTACAAACATGCGCGCACATTACTGGAACTCTTCAGTACACCAGAGTCACCAATGGCAATTGCCTAGCATTGTCGCCTCTCCATCCTCTCTTCCTCCCGCTCCCTCTGCACGCTCCGTGCCACCAGCGTTGTTGAAGCCCGCGGAGGAAGCGTTTGCCGGGGCTGTCCACGACCGCCCGCTGTTGCCGTTCGCGATCGCTCAACGGCACGCAGATAATTAAAGGCGCCGTCTCACACGAGTGGGGGGGGGGGCGGGAGTGGACGTGACGGCGATGGCAGCAGGTGACCGCGCGTCGATAGCGGTATAACGTAATTAATGCTGTCGGTCATTGCCTCGACGCGCACTTAAACTTCGGTAAACACGTCAATCCTAGGATGCAGATGTTATCCATCTCCGTTAGGCGACGTGTGCCCCGGCTGCTGTGGGAAGATCGCGAGTGCAGATCTGTGGTGCGCTGTTCTGGTCGTGCCGCGTGTTGCACGGCGCGCTGCCACGACGTTTCCCTCCACGTGTCTGGGTGGTAACCTGTTCAGAAAGGGAATAATAAGGGAATCGTTCCAGCGCAGTTTGGGATGAGAACAACTCGGCAAGTGAAGCAAAAAAAAAAACGAGACATCATGCGGAACAACACGTGGTGCAGCCCGGCAACAAACCGCAGAGAAATTGGCCACTTGCAATGTGGTCCCTCTCCAATGTGCTTTCACCTCGTTCTGCGTGATGCCCGACGTTTCGCTCCACGCAAGCTCGAAAAGCGCCCTGCACGCCAAGATCGCGATGAGTCCGTGGACGCGTGTGGGTTTGTCGTCCTCCTCCACTGCTTCGGCAACAGCAAGGAGCGATGCGCACAGCAAAACAATAAAAAACGTCCCCTACATTTCACCCCGTGCCGCGCCGTGCCGCACGTATCAATCTCCGGCCAGGTCGCGCTGCGGACGCGGAGCTGTTCCTTCGCAGCGACCTGCGGCGAGACCTCCGTCACGCGTGCACGCGGGGGGAGACCCCAGTGCCGTGAGAGATTCGTGTCGAGAGTTTTGAATTGCAAAGCGTTACCGTCGATCAGCGCCGGCGCCGCAGCCCCAATTGGGGCCACCCCCCACCCCCACTGAACGCGTTATTATCGAGAGCGTTCCCACGATCCGCCACCGCCTCAACAAATCCATCGGTGGCGTGGCACTCGTCCCTCGTCTTGCAAGGGGAGGTCCCGGGGCAGGTCAAGGAGTGGACGTGTAGCAGAGTCGACGTGGCGGAGGGGTGGGATCAGTGCCGGATTATCCTCGTAGCAAAAGTAGCTACATAAGTAGCTACGGGCCCCGACACTTTCAAGGGCCCTGTGCTAAATGCTTTCAAGCTATCAATTCCGTATTCTTGGGTCTTTCAGTAAAGTCACGTTAGATAAGTTCAAAGAAAATAACAAAAAATAACAAAATACTACGACTTTTTGTTTCTCTCCTGATGACGATTGCTTGTGTTGCGATCGAAACGTCGTAGTGTTTTGTTATTTTTTGTTATTTTCTTTGAACCTATCTACGTGACTTTACCGAAAGACCCAAGAATATGAATTCCTGCAGTCACGAAAGCTTTAAGTCAAGATCTATCAATTCCGGTTCAGTAATTCTGCACTTGCTCTATTACTATAGTACTATACTTGCCTTCAACTTGTACGAACGACTGGGTGTTTAAGGTTAGCGATGTGTCGTATTGTCTGGCTGTATGGCAAATGAAAAGATACAATTACTTTACGATGCAAGTAAAAAAACATATTTTAATATTTGTGTGTGTGTTTTTTTTGTTACGCTACAGGCCCCGCACTAGCTTAGTCCGGCACTGGGGGGAAGAAGTGGGTCGAGCAGGGTACCGAGAGCTTTCTCGCTCGGCTCCAGCGGGCCACTCGCCCTCGTCGTTTCCTGCGCCACCGTGGCTCTTGGGAGCAGACGGGGTGACGGGAGAAGTCGTGGCCGGGCGGACAATAGGGGGCTCGGAGGTGCGTGGCGACGCTGACAGGACCGGGGTGGACAGCTCTGCGGGGTTCTTGGTCGCCACCACTGATCCTGCTCCACAGCAGGATCGAAATACCCATTAAGGCGTTATCGGTGCCGGCCCTTAATTGCAAATCAATATAAAGCAGGCAATAGGCTAATCCCTTTGTTTTTATCTGAAGCGCCTTTCTACGGGGATTAAACGTGGAATGTGCCCCCCCCCCTCTCCTGCTTTGCGACGCGCCGATATTGGACGTAAGCCACAACGCTGTCACTCGGCGAGCCAATTTCCTTCGCGTGACATTCACGTTGATGGAATCGGGGGGGGGGGGGGCACGAGGGAGCCGTTGGGGTTTTTCAAAATACCACGCAGCCGAATGCCACACTCCGGCACAGTGTCACGCAGCCGCGGAGAGAGACAACAACAACAAAATCCTCTACCATTTATTTTAATATTAGCCGTGTACGCTTAACACCCCAACCCCCCCCCCCCCCCACTTTGCACAAGAGCGCAGAAGCGTGGTCACGACATCTACGCCTCTCTATAAGGAACTAAACAGGTGGACTTCTCCACAAATCTGTCTGTCGCCTGATGAAGCTGGCTGTAATTACTGACGAAACGTCGTACTCAGATTGTTAATGTTGTGGCTTTGCTCTCTAACACACCGGTGTGCTGTACTAGTGACGAATTGGCCACGTTCTGCTTACGTGACAACCCTTACTAGTTGGCTGTGTCGGGTGGTGGCGGGTTTAACGACACATTTATATATTTACGTGATCTAACCCAAAAAAACCTGTCCCGCGATTTTTAAAATTCTTCATCAAATGTGACTCGTTTGTCGTGCGAAGCTGGTTATTGGATTCATCGCCTGACCACCCCCCCCCGCCCCCCCGGCGTCTCTCCTCTCGGACTGCCGTGGGGGGCGAGGGGGGGGGGGCATGAGGTGCGGTTGCGTAATCCTCCACCGCAGTGGGGATAATTTACACTTGGAACCAATAACTCGTGTCGCGAGTCTATGTTGCTCAACGTCTCGGTCTGCGACGAGTGGAATTGCTGCAATGACTTTGTCGAGCCACGTTAACCTTCATAGCGGTTAATGGATAAATGATTTCCCGAGGCCTGCCGATGCGCTGGGACGACACTGTCCGTCGCTGCCCTTGCTAGCCCGAATGAAATCCGAATGTTTTTTTCTTTCTCGTTACTTCTTTATGCAATACAACACACGTTCTCTGGTCTGGTCAACACAAGCAAGTAACGTTGCGCAGCTCAGCAACAAGGGAAGCCTCACCGTGGCTGGGTGGATGAGTGACTGGGAGGGTGGGTGAGTGAGTGGCTGGGAGGGTGGGTGAGTGGCTGGGAGGGTGGGTGAGTGGCTGGGAGGGTGGGTGAGTGACTGGGAGGGTGGGTGAGTGACTGGGAGGGTGGGTGAGTGGCTGGGAGGGTGGGTGAGTGACTGGGAGGGTGGGTGAGTGGCTGGGTGGATGAGTGGCTGGCAAGGTGGGTGAGTGGCTGGGAGTCTGGATGAGTGGCTGGGAGGGTGGATGAGTGGCTGGGAGGGTGGGTGAGTGGCTGGGAGTCTGGGTGAGTGGCTGGGAGTCGGGGTGAGTGGCTGGGAGTCTGGGTGAGTGGCGGGAAGGGTGGGTGGGTGAGTGACTAGGAGGGTGGATGAGTGGCTGGCAGGGTGGGTGAGTGGCTGGGAGTCTGGGTGAGTGGTTGGGAGGGTGGGTGAGTGACTGGAGGGGTGGATGAGTGGCTGGGAGGGTAGGTGAGTGGCTGGGTGGATGAGTGGCTGGCAGGGTGGGTGAGTGGCTGGGAGGGTGGATGAGTGGCTGGGAGGGTGGGTGAGTGGCTGGCTGGATGAGTGACCGGAGGGGTGGATGAGTTGCTGTGAGGGTGGATGAGTGGCTGGGTGGATGAGTGAGTGGGAGGGTGGATGAGTGGCTGGGAGGGTGGGTGAGGGGCTGGGAGAGTGGGTGAGTGGCTGGGAGGGTGGATAAGTGGCTGGAAGGGTGAACCAGTTTCTAGTAGAGTGGGTGGGGGCTGTTTGGGTGGTTGGGTGGGTGGCTGGATAGGCAGGTAGCTAGGTGGCTAAAATCCACAATTCAAATATGGGTTCCATCCGCCCTGTGATAAAGCCAGGTCCCCAAGTGTGGCAAGACAAGGGTCTCAGCCTGGTACCCAATGGCTGCACAAAACAGACAATTGTATTACATACAGTATGTCTTTTCACTTAATTTGGCCGATTGCAGCTTGGTTTTACTGACAGGGGATGAACACTCTTGCGCAGCGCGTGTAACCGGTGTGCCCATCGTGTACATAAGCAGGCAGAAGTAATGTCACACCTTGGGACCTTTTTGCCAGTGCCAAAGTATAAAAAATAAGAAGTTATGTTGTGACATCACCTTCTGGGACCGTTCTCCGGAACAAGGCAATGCAAGAGATTCAAATACAAATGTCATCTCATAACATGACACAAATAAAACATTTGAAATACGGTTGACAGGAGAGAAAAAAAACCGAGAGAAGCCAGGGACGCATCAATGAGCATAATGCAGATACACGTTCAGTCAATGTGTATTCCTTACATCATTATTCTTCTTAACAATTGGAGTGGAATCAATGCATCTCTTAAGGCATGCATATCAGTTTTTTTTTTAAAGCACGCAATATAAGCGTGGAATCCCACGCGGATAATAAGCAATTTCTCAAGAGCTACGCGCTGTGTGTAACATGTCTACCTCACCCTGGGCCTGCTGTCATTCACCGCAACGTTTAAAAATAATCGATTCTTTGAACGAATCACGATTCTGGATGGTTACCATTCATAGAGTCGCTCCTGGAAAGGGGGGGGGGGGGTGGGTGGGGGTTGAATCCTTGAGCCCCGGACAGACGGAATCTCACACGCGCATTGCCTGCGTTGCTCTCCGACGTGTTTTCTGATTTTCTGGGATCGCACCGTAGCATTTGGCACGGCGTCCGGCGTTCAAGGCAATGCAAGTTTCAGAGCATTTATACCTCTGGTCGAGCAGTTAGTTGTATATAGTTGAACACGTGGGCTTTCGCGACCAATATCATCTATAGTACAGGTTTTTTCTTTGTGGGTTATATTGCGTAAATACAGGGTGCTTAAAAAAATGTTAACACTTCGGAGAATTTGCAACAACACCACAAGAAGTGCGGTGCTGCCTCCGGGCTCCGGAGACCACGTGGAGAAGATTCCAGGCCACGTGTTGACAATGACGGCGAACAAGTGGAGACTCTTTGACTTTTTGAAGATATTAACATACATTTGTTATCATGGTATAGTGTATTATCCGTTCTTTTTCCATTGAAAACGATAATCCCATATAAGTATTAAAAATAATTTGAAGCACCCTGTGTATAAATGTGTCGTTAAACCCGCCCACACCCGACACAGCCAACTAGTAAGGTTTGTCACGTAAACAGAACATGCCAATTCGTTACTAGTAAAGCAACACCGGTGTGTTGGAGAGCAACGCCACAACATTTACAATCTGAGTACGACGTTTCGCCAGTAATTTCAACTGGCATCATCAGGCGACAGCCAGATTTGTGGAGAAGTCTTCCTCCTGATTCGTTCCTTATAGTATTAGATTTGATGGCATCACTTTTGAGCACTTCTTGAGCGATGTTATATCCACTCATCACACCTTGGCGGTGTTCTCTGGTGGTGGAGACAAAGCCATAAAGAAGGTTGTCTCTGGTGTAGGCCAATCAGTTTCGAAGACAATGGTAGATTATCGGAGTATGTTTGTTTGCATGTTTGTACACGAGTATTTGTGGTTAATGTACACTTGATGCCTGGCAATTTTTTATTTATTTATTTGGTGTTTGAACATCTTAACACCTTCTGTCTTATTGCCAGAAAGGTTAAAGCCTATTCTGTTTTTTGTTTAATCATTGCCTGCAATGTTGGGTTTGGGACTTCAAGTTGCGTCGATCGTTTTGTCTTTGAACTCTCGTCATCGTCGTCCTCATCTCTCGTCGTCGTTATTGTCGTGCATTGCAGGAAGGATGCAGACGCGCTGGGCCGTCGCCTTGCTGTTGGTCCTCCTGGCTGTAGCCGCCACGGCTGGGAAGAAGGACAAGCGGGGTGAGTTCTCGGCCCGCGGTGCTCGTCGGCGTCGGCTCAGCGTTGGAGCGCGCACGGACGAAGGAAGTGGTTACTCGATGAATGGGATCTCTCGGAAGCAGTTCTGTGACGTCCCCTTCAGCGGACCGTTCTCTTACTCGGGGTTGCTCTACGGGGGGGGGGGAGGGGGGTGGATAGTACCGCACCACGATGCGGACGGCACAAATTCAAATACAATTTTGTATAATGAAGACACGCTCGTCGAGGACGCTGCCATGGGTGCCGTTCAGCCTCGAATTAATTCGCGTGTGCATTATTATTAGTCTGCACGTTATATTATTTGGTTTCATTTGTGTGGCTCCTTAAAGAGGATAGCCAGCACACAATGTCCATCCGGTGTGATGGAGCTTGGTCATAAAAAAATAATTACAGGAGTACGTTGAGCCCAACGATTGCTGTGAAATATTTTGTAAACCGTTCAAAATTAGGCACGCGTGGTAGATGTCTTTTGATGTGAATATTCCATAAAAATTGTCAGGAGAAAAAATACCCCGTGGCGTAAAAATGCCTTGACGGGCATTTCTCTATTCGCATTTACACTTGTTAGAAAACCATTTCGCCCAACAAAGTTGCGATCAATTTGCACTGAAAACCCAAAAAACCGTTTTACAATATATTTCGTTTTATAAGCTTGCTTTTCGGGACGCTCGCGCCCTCCTCCGAAGCTAAATGTCGACGGCTCCGCTTTAATTCACTGTTCGCGTGCGCAATTATTCGCAAAATCTGCAAGGCTCGTGAAATGCATTCACAGCTGTATTGCCCACGTGGCTGATGGAACCGTGGAATGACGGCCCCGTTATATTCGCCTTCTTTTGTGCTGTCTGCTCTGCATTTCTTTAATTTATTCCTGCAGGGAAATACGGAATGCAATCCCCGTGGCTTGAGTGGATGTATGTATATATGTGTGTGTGTGTTTACTGTTAACAGCCTGCCAGGTGACTCACCATTACAGCGAGCGGCTTACAATCACAAGGTTGCCTGGTCCAATACCGGTTGGAGGGGTTCACTCATCATCATCTCTCTGGAGTCGATCAAATAAGTACCACTCTGTAGGGAGGTCAACCGTCAGAATCAGACTCTTTGTTTATACGGGAGGAATCCGATGAGCTATAAAGCTCTTTTTCGCAGATGTCCCATAAAGAGCGGGTCAAGCAAGCTACCAAGAGTGGTTGTCCTATTGATAGATCCACCCCCAACATTGGATTGTGGCATTTCCACCACTGACTTAGTGCTGTAAACGGAAAATGATCACTGCCTAAATTGTCATTTGAGCAGGAAATCGCTCTGATATTGAATGTGTGGGGGAGAGGTGGCGTAGCGGTTAGCGCGTTGCGCTACGAACCCGGTGACCCAAGTTCGATTCCCGTTCGCGGCGCACGTGATTGTGCGTCCGTCTCTCTGTCCCCCAATCGTCAGCCACGATCTATCCACTGCTGGATGAAGGCCTCCCCATGCGGTTGCCACCTCTAACGGTTCCCGCGATGCAAAAATGCATTGAGCACCTACAGACTCGCCGATTTGATTGCTCTAACCTTCCCCGGATGCGTCCGCTCCTGACCGTGCGCCCTCCTTTGACCACCACTCCACCGTTAGTCTCGGCCACGGGCCATCAACCCTTCCAGTGACATTCGCTCCCAAAGCCTTGTTCACTCACTCACTCACTTTACATCTTCTTGGTGATGTATTTTTATTTAACGCGACACCGCGATCGCGACAGACGGCATAGAATCGTGCTTGCTTGGTTTACATGTCCTGGAGTCGTGCCCTCTGAGTATTTATTTCACCCCAAAAGGGGGTAATTGAAGGTAGGTATGTATGTATATTGAACTTTTTTCGCACCGTACGTAGCCAACCACGCTAATCGGAGCTGTGAAAGGTGAATCGAGTTCCTTATTAACTTTCTTAAAAAGTCGAAATAACGTCCCTAACTTGCATTTGTTCTCCAATCGGCGTGTTCCCCGTCCTCTCTGTCTGTATCTCTCTCTGTAAATCCCGGCGCGTGTACCTTCCCGTGCTTCTTTCTGCGCTGGAGAGAGTCGCCTCTTGCGAAGCCTCGTGGGCGGCCACGTTTCTAGCGCCAATTACTCTCCGAGAGAAGCGCTCTTCTGTGAGCGCAAGTAGGCTCCCAGGGAGAGCGTTCCACCACAATGACCGCGTGTGCACCAGAAGCTTAGGGCCACACTCTTAAGCACATCACGTTGGCATCTACGGACGCCGCGGTAGGGAGATGTTAACTTCCTCGCCTGGTGTACAGGAGGTCGTCAGTTTGATTCCGACCCTGATGCCTGTATATTTAGAGTTTCCATCTTTTCCCCGTGGTTGCATGGATTTTTCTCTGGGTCCTTCGGTGTTTGCCTCTACGTTCAGAAAGACGCGTTTAGAGTATTTATTTGCTATGAAGTTCCACGCTTTGAACCACTTCTTTGGGCTATCATTGTAGCCTCTGACAAAAATAGCTCGATAGTCTTACCTGGTAAAATGAAAAAAAATAGTTCACAGTTTCATAATTTAAATAGTTGATGGTATTCCTTGGGGCACGTGCGTGATCGGGGTGTGCTTATGTGCAGCTTAGCGTGCTTCAAATGTGGCAGTGCCGGATGACACCGTGTGACGCAGAATCACCGCCACCACGTAACGCTGCATACGTAGGTCAGTGGAAAAGGCCACATAGAGTTGAACACGGATGGAGGCCAAATATACGTACGAGGACATTACGTCCATCCCGGCTGCAAACCATCCCGTGTATAAACGGCCAATGCCTCCACTCTCTGGGGATGCAGAGAGCTTCTGGAGGAGTGGTGGCATTTGGTCCCCCCACCCCGCCCCCCCCCGTGTACCCCATAGCACCCCCAGCCTCTGGCAGCTAGGCAAGTGTCTAAGACCATAACGCGTTTAATTAGCGAGGGCCCCCGGCAAGAGCACTGCGTACTCTCCGCTGCACCGGGTGCCAGGGCCAATGAGAGCACCCGGACGCCGACGTCGACGCGCGAGCGACACGCTGACGGCGCCTTCCGAGGGACGCTGTGGTGGAGGAGAGAACGAGAGGATGGCAGCCGCACTTCGCTTCCCGTCTGCGCTGCTCCGCGGCGAGCGATGCCTCAGGATAACGTGAAGGGACCGGCGCAAATGAATCGTGATTCCGCGAGGAAGATTTGTTTCTCCGCAAAGGGACGTTCAGCGACTGTTTGTACCCCCCCCCCCCGCCGCCGCCCCCGGGTTAGGGCAGTGCCGCGCAGCGTGGTTGAGCGTGGGTTCTGGTGCAAGACTGTGCCCCGCATTCCCCCCCCCTCTCTCGTTCAACTCCTCCCCCCCCCACACTCCCTCGTCTTCTTCGTAGCCAGGCGCCTGGGCCCCTACAGCAGCTCCACCGTCTGCACACTGGATAGCTAGGTCTCAGGGTTGAGGGTTCGCAAGTACTTCGCGACGAAAAAGATACAAGGAGAGACAAATGTTCCGCGTAACTTTTAGCCACCGCGGCATGAAACGTCGACAAGTCGGAAATTGTCGCCGTGCTCAAACAAGCGATGGGCAGCCCTCCAAACTGGTGACAGTCCCGAGCCTCGTAGTTCATGACTCTTGACCGCAGGGAAAACGTGGAAATGCAACTCAGCGCACCAGTTATGTGTGTGTGTCAAGGCCGTAATTATAATATATATTGGGGGACACACATCCCCCCCAATATTCAAATATGCTCAAAATGTCCCTCCCAATATATTGCTATAAAATAGATTTCTGTTTATATGATTGTGGTTATGGTTGTACTTTATTAATCCCTAATCTCTGCCATTACATACAATGAAACAAGAAAAGGTAAAAAAGAAAAAAAATAGTAGACATTATTGTAAAAAAAAAGTCCATCCTATGTGCTAGTGAATTTTTTAATATTTTAGGCAGGAAATGGCAGGGAATTCGTTTTAAAATTTAGATTTATTTTTTCTGGGGGGGCACCCCCAGACCCCCTGAAAGATTTGGTCCCCCCCCCCCAATGTTGACTCCATGGCTACGGCCTTGGTGTGTGTGCAGAATAAAGTTTTCCATCGGCTATCTCGCGGATTGGAAAAACACGAATGCCGCCAAACAAAACGGACCGAAAGATGAACAGAGGACAAAGAAAGGCACAGAGAGAGATATGCGGCACTCTTAAATTGTGCCGAGAGACAGAGAGCGTAATGCGCGTTTAGGAAGCAAACGCAAATCGGGGACTGACTGTTAGGTGGAATAACGGGGGCGGGGGGTTGGCCCTGATGCATCGCCGGCAGGGACAATGATGTCCGACGGACGAGACTGGTGGCAGAATTGCAGCCAACGAGCGCAGCCAAGAGGGCGACCACTGAGATGCAGAGCAATGAGATGGATGGTGGCATCGCAGGATGGCGTGGCACGCCTGGCGGCTTGCGGGGGGGGAGAGGGAGCGATTCATTCAGCAATGGATAAACCATGGCCCACTTATGTCCTTCGTGGGAGCAGAATGAGTTGCTGATGTTTTTGTTTTTTAAACCCTGACCGAGATTTGAACCCATGCACTTCTAACTGCGGGGCGGGCGTTCTAACCACCGCGCCGCTGGGCGCAATGCCGTTATTAACGCGACTCGATTGTGTTTCAGATCAGCCGCCGGTTACGCCAAATGACGCGGGATTTTACTTTCAGAAGCATCGCTAAGACAGTCGTAATGCAATAAAAACGGTACGCAAATGCACTTATGGGAAATAAGCGGAAGGGAAGAAATGCCTAGCAAGAAAAAAAAACCGTCTCTGCCCGAGCCCAAATTGCCGACAACTAATTTTGAGAGAGCTGCTCACGCCCCTCCAGTGCGGCTAAATGCCAAGAATTGCCATTTTCAGCGAGTGCTGAAATAAGTCCGACGAAGGCGGTGGCGGGGGTGAGGTGAGGGTTGCGTGAGGGAGGCTGGGGGGGGGGCAGGAGGTCGGGGCGTGGGGAGCTCACCCGAACGTGACGCCTT